CACATACCCTCCCCAATGTCTATCACCCAGCCACCCCATCCCTCCCAACCCCCACCACTCCAGCAACCCTCAGTTTGTTTCCTGAGATTAAGAATTCCTCATATCACTGAGATCATATGATACATGTCTTTCTCTGACTGACTTATTTTGCTTAGCATAATACCCTCCAGTTCCTCCATGTCATTGCAAATGGCAAGATCTCATTCCTTTTGTTGGCTGCATAATATTCCATTGTATATATATATATCATATCTTCTTTATCCATTCATCTGTCTATGGACATCTTGGCTCTTTCCATAGTTTGGCTATAGTGGACATTGCTGCTATAAATATTGGGATGCATGTACCCCTTCGGATCCCTACATTTGTATCTTTGGGGTAAATACCCAGTAGTGCAATTGCTGGGTTGTACAGTAGCTCTATTTGCAACTTTTTGAGGAACCTCTGTACTATTTTCCAGAGTGGCTGCACCAGCTTTGCAGGAGACTTTTAAGGCCCTGAGGACAGAGTCTGGACAGAGCTTGCGGGATGGAGCCCATACGGGTTCAGTGTTCTGCTCTGCCTGCGTTTCATCTTGAATGCCTCAATACCCAGTGGATGCTTTTTGATGTGAGCATTTTAAGGGACTCAAAGAGCTTTGTTGAGCAGATTGTCCTTTCTGGTCCAAGATAGAGTTTTACTGGCCGTCAGTTCCTTAGCAAATCAGATTTTTTTTTTTTATAGCTTTTAATCTGGGAGAAATGCATATGGACAAACGGCCTCGGAATTCATAAAATCAGGATTTTTTTGATGTTTTAGTCTTTTTTTTTTTTTCTGAGAGAAATCTGTCTGTGATATGCAATGTCTAAGCAGTTGCCAAGAGGTAAAAGCTTTCTTGAGTGGGTAGGGAGGTTAGGAGCCCTAATCCCTCTGAAATCCTGAAGAGGTATCCTGGCTACTTAGGAAGCCCTTGTCTGGGCCTTATATGGTATAGACATAGGAGCTAGCCTCCTGGCTTCTAACAGATGTTTGTGAGGATGTGCCTTTGGAAAGCCTTGGAATTTCCAGAAAAATAAGCATTATAGACCTTAAGGAAATTTTATGT